GTCAACAGTGTGCCCTTGTTGCCAAGAAGGCTAATGGCATATTGGGCTGCATTAGTAGGAGCATTGCCAGCAGATCAAGGGAAGTGATTATTCACCTCTGTTCGGCACTGGTGAGGCTACATCTGGAGTATTACGTCCAATTTTGTGGCCCCCACTACAGAAAGGATATGGACAAACTGAAGAGAGTCCAGTAGAGGGCAATGAAAATGATTAGAGGGCTGGGGCACACAATTTATGAGGAGAGACTGAGGAAACTGGGCTTATTTAGTCTGCAGAAGAGAAGAGTGAGGGGGGATTTGACAGCAGCCTTCAACTACCTGAAAGGGGGGAGTGCGTTCGAAAGAGGATGGAGTTTGGCTGTTCTCAGTGGTGGCAGATGACAGAACAAGGAGCAATGGTCTCAAGTTGCAGTGGGGGAGGTCTAGGTTGGATATTAGGAAAATATTCACTAGGAGGGTGATAATGCACTGGAATGGGTTACCTAGGGAGGTGATGGAATCTCCATCCTCAGAGGTTTTTAAGGCCCGGCGTGACAAAGCCCTGGCTGGGATGATTTAGTTGGGGTTGGTCCTGCTTTGAGCACGGGGTTGGACTAGATGACCTCCTGAGATCTCTTCCAACCCTAATCTTCTATGATTCTATGAATTCATTTCCCTGTGTTCTCGTTTATTAGGCCAGGTCTACACTAACCCCCCAATTCAAACTAAGGTACGCAACTTCAGCTACGTGAATAACGTAGCTGAAGTCGACGTACCTTAGTTCGAACTTACCGGGGTCCAGACGTGACAGGCAGGCTCCCCCATCGACTCCGCATACTCCTCGCGCCGAGCAGGATTACCGGAGTCGACGAGGAGCACTTCTGGGTTTGATTTATCGCGTCCAGACAAGACGCGATTCGATTGCCTGCCGCCAAACCAGCACATAAGTATAGACAAGCCCTTAGAAATGCTGCCATCCTTCCACCATTTTTTGTCATTTATACTGACTGTAGAACTATTAAAAAACTATTGTACATTTGTACATATGTCAGATCTGCCTGTGTTTCCAAGCTATAAATAGGAACAATCTTTTAACTCCGCATCTGGTCTGCAGATTATTTTTGGAGGGTCAACAGAAAATTATAGATATATAATAAATGTAAATGTATATATATACTGTAGTGTGTCCTCTGCCCCCATTCCCTCCAGAATAGGTGTAAATCCTACAAAATAAACTTAGAACTTTCTAAAAGAACCCTAGATTTCTGAAAGAGATCCTAAATAATATCTACATCTTTAAAAACTTGTTTGGTACCAGTTGTAAACTCACAGAATTGCTACAAACTCTCAGAATGGCACAATTATCTTTTCCCCCAAAAAAAGTCTTTTTGTAAGGGCTGTACTGTTTATTCAAATTCTAAATCAGTCAGTCAACTATCATTAATACACAGTCAATTAAGTGTCACATTTCCTTCCAGTTTACAGATATTCACAGCCACGTTTCTAAATGACGCCTTTATTTTCCCTGGTCTTCCCAGCAGAATTATGTTATTATTGTTGCTATAAATCTAGAGCAACTGCTTTTTGTTTATGAAAAGTCAAACAATCCCTCTAGCACTATTTGATGTAAAGTGAATTTCACAACAGTTATTTATGTGACCCATTTTTTTTTTTATTTCCCTGGTTTCTTTCATGGCAGTGAATATGCGCTTATCTTTTCTTTGAGCCATTTAGTCTTGTTTTTCATTCAATCCCTGCTTCTTTTCTGGGATGTGTTTGTGCATGTATCATACTCATGGAGATAATCATGACTGCAGAGTATCAATACAAGTATATATTTCTAAGTGAATTTAGAGCTCATAAAAGATCATGTAATGCCATTGGTCTTCCCACTTCTCATCTCCCTCCAAACAGCTGCTGCTGAAATCATCTTCCTTTTCTGTTGCTCGCACCTTCTCACTCTGTGACAGAATGTACCCCTCTGTCCAAACCCTACACAATGTTGTAATAATCTTTGTACAATGTATGTCTTGTAAGGTATAATTTGAAAACTCATAATTTGGTGATCAATATTGTCCTCATAAAATATGTGTGGCAACATTGTATGTGAAGTTATAAAGTTCCACGTATGGTGTTATTAACACATGTTCCAAATTGAGGTTGGCAAACAGGTCTGTGTGCTCTGCCTAATTTGTACTTAAGCAGTAAATCGAGCAGTGGTGGGCAACCTGTGGCCCATCAGGGTAAGCTGATTGCGGGCCGCGAGACATTTTGCGGATGTTGACCATCTGCAGGCAGGCCCCCCGTAGCTGCCAGTGGCCACGGTTCACCATTCCTGGCCAATGGGAGCTGCGGGAAGTGATGGCCAGCACGTCTCTGTGGCCCGCTGCTTCCTGCAGCTCCCATTGGCTGGGAACGGCGAACCGTGGGTGTAATAAACGAGAGGGGGGATAGCTCCCTTTTGTGGACACCCAGCCAGCCAGTTGGCTATGGAATCACTCTTGGTGGTTGTTCTCTACTTGCTTTACCGGAAAGGGTTAACAAGCCCACAGGTGAAAGGAAAGGAGTGGGCACCTGACCAAAAGAGCCAATGGAAGGGCTAGAACTTTTTAAAATTGGGAAAAAACTTCCCTTTGTCTATGTGTTGTGATTCTCCGGGAAAGAGGGGAACAGGGAGCAGTTATGTTGTGAGAAGCTTAAGCCAGATATGAAAAATCATCAAATCATACCTAGAGATTGCTTATCTGAAATCCCCAGATATGTACGTAAATTAGAGAATGTCTAGAAAGACGCGATTAGGTTTATTTCTTATTGGCTAGTGGACTTCTCTGTGTCAGCCCCAAATGCTTTTTGTTTTGCTTGTAACCTTTAAGCTGGACCTCAAGAAGGTTATTCTTGATGTTTAAATTTTGTAAGTGGGTTTTTAAAAATCTAGCATAAGCCTAAATTCCAGATGTATTTTCTTTCTTTGTGTTTTTAATAACATTTACCTTTTTTAAGAACAGGATTAGATTTTTGATGTCCTAAGAGGTTTGTGCACATGTTGTTAAATTAGCTGGTGGCAACAGCTGATTTTCCTTTGTTTTTCTTTCTCAGCTCTTCCCAGAGAGGGTGTGTGTGAAAGGGCTTGAGGGTACACCACAGGAAGGAATTCCCAAGTGTGCCTTTCTAGTTTCAAAGGGTTTTTTTGCATTTGGGTGGTGGCAGCATCTACCCATCCAAGGTCAGAGAGAAACTGTAACCTTGGTAGTTTAATACAAGCCTGGAGTGGCCAGTATTAATCTTTAAAATCCTTGCTGGCCCCCACCTTCTGCACTTGAAGTGCCAGAGTGGGGAATCACCCTTGACAGCGGCCACTGGGAGCTGTGGAGGGCCATGCCTGCGGACGATCAACATCTGCAAAATGTCTTGCAGCCCGCAATCAGCTTACCTTGATGGGCCGCATGTGGCCCGCGGGCCACAGTTTACTCACCACTGAAACAGAGTCATCAAGCAGGAGGAGACAAAGGCAGCTCACACAGGTGAGAAAAAGAAGCAGGGAACATCCTTCCACATAGATCTTTTGCCTCCTGGTACCCAGCTGTAAATGTTTCTCAAAAGGCAGGCTGAAATTGTAAAAAGGAGGGGCAAACACCCAAGAGACCCCATCTCTCTCTCCCTTCCCATTACTTTCTCTACACCTGAAGCAACGAAGGAAGACTTCATTGGATTCTGGGAGAAGAGGTCCTGACCTAGAGGGTTAGGTCAGAAAGACTGCTGAAGGAATATGGTGAGAAATTTTGCTTGAATCTGATATAGACTGTTAAGTTAGGCTCCAGTAGCATTTTAACTTTATTTTCTTATAACCTTCTCTGACTTTTATGCCTCATTACTTGTATTCGCCTAAAACCTCTCTCTTTTTAGTTAATAAACTTGTTTTATTGTTTTATCTAATCCAGTGTGTTTAAATTAAAGTGTTATATCTGCCTTACCATAACCTCTGACTGTGCTCCACTAAATGCATATCTGTATTATCAGAACAAATTTAAAAAGTGGCATATATATTTTACATGGCTCATTGTGCTGCGGGAGATTTTTTAAAAATAAAAGCTACAAGAAGTATCTACTGAGAGCACATTAAAAATCTGAACTTTAGTGAATCTTGTGGAATAAATAGTTGTTTTTTAACCTGGTCATAACACTCATCCCAAATATAAAGGATTTATATTATATTTTCATACTTAAGATAAATGTCCACAATTAATGACCTCTCATCATAATAAACAAGAATGGTGCTCTCGGTTTATAATAGTAAATTTTAATTTGTCCTGCTTTCATTTCATATAACATATTTTCTTTTCAATGAAGGAACCAAACACTATATTTCAAATTGGTACAGTATTTCTAACTTCAATTAAAGAACAAAGATCATTTCATTCTAGAGGTAACAACAACATCATAATCCCCAGATGTTGCGGTTTGGCAATCCAGTAATGGCAGAATAAATGTAGCTGAGGTTTGCAAGAGGGAAAGCCATGGCAAAGCATGACAACATCAGCAGATTTGGGATATCTGTTTGTTCTCTTGAAATTGCATTTCCAGTAGCTCATACTTGCAAGATACAACACAGATGCTTAGCGCCTAAGGAGGGATTTCTTCAGCAGGTTTCAGCAATGTTACTCAGATGTTAGATACTGCCTTTGCAACTGTTTTTATTTATTTATGTAGGTCTCATGCTAAAACAACACGAGCAATAGGACTTTATCTGGAGAGATTCCTTTATTAGCTGCAAACCAAGTCTGGTGGCACATTCTTTAGAAATTGTACGGGCACATACCTGCCTTTTACTCCTTTTGTGTCTTGGCTTTACAACAAACTTCTGTGATGTGGTGTTCATTTGCCAGAATTCTAAGTGGAAAACAAAGCCAAATAAATCTAATCTTCCCCAGTATATATATATATATATATATATCACTTCACTCCATAACCTTGAGGCAGCATGAATACAATATGGAAATTTTCTGTGAATTAGATCTGATAATGATTTCATTTTTCAATTCTTCTTCTAGAAAGGAGGCAACATTACAGCTACTTTTCCCAACAGCAGAGAAATTATAAAAATTCTGCTATTAATAATGCAGGTCTGCTAATATAGCCATTCTGTGGACTTCATCCTCAGACGGTGTAACTGATGTTCAAAGACTAAATTTCACCAAATACTGTATGGTGAATTTTATTTGTATGGTGCTACCATGAACTGAATCATATTTTCTGGAATGCAGGAAACACCCATACTTGCTATGGCTACATTAATTCAATTTGATTGCTCTTTGTGTTAATTTATGCTTTAAGGTGACTGTGACAAAGTGGGACTGTTCTTACTGTTTCCTCTGAATATTGTGTGGGTGCCTCAGTTTCCCCTATGCATTCCTTAAGTCTCTAGGGGGTGAGACTGTTGCAGAGCAAAGGGCCAGTGCACATAAATGGCCGACACTCTGTCTCCTGGCAACTGATGGCTGGGGCCCTTCCCCCCTGCAAGGGGATAGCTTAAGATTAACAAAGAGATCAGGTGACCTCCTGGCCCGGGAAAGAGACAAAGGCCAGAAAGGAGGGGCTGGAGAGGGTTTCAGATTGGGGCTGGCTGGGGACGTGGAGTGAGGGCAGACATGGGTGTCTGGCTCGCTGCCCCCCAAAATGGACCCAGCTGCGGGGTCCTGGTCTCTGTACCTACAAGCTCTGTTTTAGACCCTGTTCCTGTCATCTAATAAACCGCTGTTCTACTGGCCGGCTGAGAGTCACGTCTGACTGCGGAGTTGGGGTGCCGGGCCCCCTGGCTCACCAGGACCCCGTCTGGGCGGACTCGCTGTGGGAAGCTCACGGAGGGGCATAGGATGCTGAATGCTCCAAGGTCAGACCCAGGAAGGTGAAGACGTGTGAGCTTCTTGCCCTGAAGACAGTCTGCTCACAGAAGGAGACTTCACCAGAGTCCTGACTGGCTTCATAGGGAGCAGTTCCAGAGCATCGCCCGGTGACTCCGTGACAGTGACTATATTCACAGCGTAATACATGTTAGAATTGGGAGAGACCTTCTGGGATGTTTAGAATCCCCACAATCAGTATGATATTACCCCACACTAATCCCACTAGGTCTTTAATTTTTTTAAACTTCTAATCATGAGCACTGAGAAATTTATTCTTTTGCCAAATCCCATTTTACTAGGTGCTCATAAACCCCAGTGATGGGTATAAGCTAAACAAAACACAAGGACTCACCATTTTTAACATCCAACCTGAACTTTACCCTCTTCAGTTTTAGATTCTTATTCCTTGTTTCAATAGTGTCTGCTACAGACAGAAGTCCCTTTTCTTCTCTTGTATTAACAACTTTCACATTTTTATAGTCTTTGCCTATCCCTTTAATCAGCTTTCAGTGAGACTACATGAAAGTTCCAGCAATTTCACTCATTTTATGTCAAATCCTCTTTAATATTCTAATTTCCCTTTTCTGCTCTTTCTTTAACTTTTGGAGGTACTAATCATGAAGGCTGAGAACTGTTTTCTGTATTCCAGAGTCATTTTAGCAAAGCTGGTAAAAAGGCATATAGGACTGTGCAAAATTAGGCACTTCCAACTTACATATCTCTGCATTCCAGGTTTGGTTTTGTAATGAAATCCCAAACCATCTGCATTCACATTTGGTTATAAACATTTCCAACATCTCCACTTCTGCTCATACTGCATATACTTTATACCAACTAGTGCATTTGTACATGTGATCCGAACACCAGGATAAAAGGATGGCAATGGCTGCTAAGACCTAAAACTCAAAGTGGACCTGCATGTTTCACTAAACTACATCTAGCTATAGGACATCAGGTTGTAGTGATCAAGAGTTTCTAGTGATAATACATATCATAAGAGCAAAACATAAGTGATTGGCGTATGTCAACAAAAAACACTTGTGAGTATCTTTCTCCCACAGTGTGGTATGAGCAAAGCACAGTCATAGATGCTATACTTATTGTTAGAGCTGAGTGAATAACTGATTTTTTGGTTCAATGGCCCAAAAAAAAATCCAAAATGATTTTTTTTTCCAGGACAACCAGAAATGAATGTTTTCAGTTTTTCTCACTGAAATGTAAAACTGATTTCTTTTTTTGTTTTAAGTCAAAAAATACATTTTGTTCAATCCAGAATGAAATTCTTGTCTGTTGCTGTTGTTGTTTCATTTGTTTGTTTAAACAAAAAATAAATATAGCTACATTTTGAAACAAAATGTCCTTCCATTTAGACTTTTAAAAATGTTCTTTTCTTCCTGGGTGAAATTATTTGCCAAATCTGACCCAAATTCATGAATATTTTCTGTTCACAAAACTGCATTTTTGGCAAATTAACTATTCATCCCAAAATTTTTTGCCCCGCTCTACTTATTATAAGCTTTCTCATCAGACAATGTGTGGTACTCACTTAAGATCCAATCCTGCAAAAATGTATGCATGTGAATAACTTCACTCATGAAAGTAGTTCCTTTGAAACAAATGGTATTACTCATCTGAGTGAAGTTATTCACTTGCATAAGGCTTTGCAGGGTCGTGTCCTCAGTCTGTATTTCATCATATGTTCTACATATTCTTACAGTTCTTCTTACAGAATAGAAAATGTGAATACTTTTGAAGACGTTTTGCTGCAGTACAATAACTGAAATGCTAAGTGTAACATGCTCTGCACCAAGAGAATAATAGGAAGAGGATCAGACTAATTCAATCACAGCCAGGGTCAGGTAATGGGGTCTCCTATTACCCCTGAGGGCCACCACCCAGATCTCACAATGAATCAACACGAACCACTTTCAAAGTTATTGTTGCTTGTCTGTTTTCTGTGAGTGCTTTTATATATCCTACCTATACTTATGTTGTAGATCCAGTCCATGTTTTGGTGTCATGCCACCAACTCTTAACTCTTGATTTAAAGATTTGTAGGGCCGCCAGAAGACAAATGGTAAAATTACAACTTTTTATTGGTGAAATAATAATATCTTACATTTATATAGCATCTCAGACTACTTTAATAATTTACAAACTATTTAAGAATCATTTCACCTACCATAAAAATGAAGCCATATCTGGGGTGGAACGTAGCAGCTATGTAACAGCACACAGTAATACTTCACAACATTTTACAAGTGAATGATAATGACGAGAACATGCATAGCACTTTCCCATCCAAAAGTATCTCAGGAAGAGTACCATGACCAATTGAAATCACAAAGGAAATTGAAATAGAAATAGGGATGTAACAAACCAAGTTGGAATTTGATCACTCCTATTTTGAAGAAGTCCTATGAGAAAAGACGGTTA